TCCTGAGTTCACAAAATGTAATTGTTTGTTGCAAATAGGAGTACCTGAAAGAAGAAGGAGATCTGAGCCCCGAAGCATTGAGAATGATTGGAGAACTGCTCAACGAACAGAGTCTTATGTACACTGCACTTAGTGAGATGATCTATGACCAAACTGACATCAGTGACAGCACCAAGTAGGCCCTGACAACTCAAACCTTCTTCATGTTTACATTTATGTGTAAAAACATAATTAAAATCACCCAAGTAGAGCTTACAACAAAATTCTTGCTTCTCTACCATTTGGTCACAAAAAGAGACAGTCACACACATGATTAATCCAAGCAAAAACTAATGTAATAATATATAATAGCTTAAATGTGCTTTTTAATCATTTGAGCCATTTAACATAGCAGCAAAGGCTTCAAATATAAAATATATGTTATGAATTTGCGAACAGCAACTGCAATTTTTCATGTCTTTATGTAGAATATAAAAAGGTATCTATGAGTTTTCAGTGCATGCAAGCATATCAAGAAACAATGCAGACAATCCAGAAAACACGGAGCAGTTTAACAGTCATTTGGCACGACTTGTTTTGACATATCCTGCTCTTTTTACGTAAGCGCTTAACTACGTTTATCATGAGGGCCTTACCTTTGCCGCAAGGTATGGAGCACTTATCATGAAGCAAGGCACCATAGCATTGTGATGACTTGTTAGAACATGCAGCAGAAGAGATGCAAACATTTAATATGATCCAACAGCCACACACACAATGCAGTATTTGCTTCTGCCTGCTCTGAGCAGTTCATTAGAACCTAAAAATGAAATTGTAGAAACTGTACATGTAAATAATTTTCTACAGATATTAACTGCAATAATAATAAAATGTTATTTTTATGTCTCTTTTTTATAGGTACTTTGAAGTTGTTGGTGGGTCTGATCTTCTCCCCAAAGCTTTTCTTACTGTCCTTGATATCCCTATTCTCCTGAACTCTAGAGTCAAGCGTATCAGTCACTCACACAAAGGAGTCGTTGTATCATACCAAACCGGACAACAGTCCTCTCTTACTGATCTTCAGGCTGATGTTGTCCTAGTAACAACCACAACAAAAGCAGCTCTTTTTATGGATTTCATCCCACCTCTGTCCCCCAAAAAGATGGAGGCACTGAGGGCTGTCCATTATGACAGCTCCACTAAAATCCTCCTCACCTTTAACAACAAGTTCTGGGAAAACGACGGTATCCGAGGAGGAAAGAGCATCACATACGGGCCTACTCGTTTCATCTACTATCCCAGCCACAGTTTCCAAAAAAATAAAACCATCGGTGTCCTCCTGGCTTCCTACACCTGGGGTGATGATTCACTACTCTTCCTAGGTGCAAGTGATGAAGCCCTCAAAGAGCTGGCTCTGAGCGATTTGGCAAAGATTCACGGTGAGCAGGTGTGGGATTTCTGCACTGGGGTGGTGGTGAAAAAGTGGAGCATGGATCCTTACAGCCTTGGTGCCTTTGCTCTGTTCACACCCTACCAACACTTAGAGTATGCTAAGGAGCTCTTTAAAAGTGAAGGCAGGGTCCACTTTGCTGGTGAACACATAGCCTTCCCTCATGCTTGGATTGAGACGTCCATGAAATCCGCAATAAGGGCAGCGAAAAACATTAACAGAGCTGTGCTGCTGAATTCAGAGTCAGCTAAATGTCGAAAAAGAAATGAACTCTAGGGTCTGACATATTTAGTCTTCAACAATCTTCAAAAGAAGGATCCTTAAACCACTTATCTACTTATTACAAACCAATCGTTTCCATGAATTAGCTAAGTGACAATACTAAATATTATTGTTTCAGCGCTTACAGCTTTTTATCCTTTTGTTAATTGATCTCTTTTTTGTGCTGTACTACTCACTTTCAATATAAAAGGCCTTGGTAAATTAGTGGTGATAGAGATATATTATTAAAAACTGTATCTGTATCAAAGACTTTTTGTGATGTAGCATTTTCACACAATAAAGTGGCAATGTTACACAAAGTTAATGTCTATAGTCTCATTCTTTTCTTTGCAATAATCAAACCTGTTCAAAGATATACGACCTGCATGTGGTGCCACTGAAAACATGTGACTTCTGGAAAGACGTTTGTTTAGCAAATGACAGAATGATAAAAGATTTAAAGGAAGTTACATTTTTCTCATCATAGGACCCAAACAGTGTTTGTATATCATGTGACCGCACGAGACAGGGAAAAACTGAAACCAAAACTGAAGCCTCATTTTCAAAAGAGGCGGGGCAAGCCTGTCCTTTAGGATGGGGCAGTCAGGTGAGTAGTATAAACAGGAGTGAACTGAAGTGAACGACAAGGAGGAGACACGAGTTACATCGGATTAGCAAGTCCTTTTAAACGGTAATATAGTTTTATTTCTGCTTGGTAAAAATAATACTTGTATTATATTCGTGTAGGTTTATCATATTTTTATGCTTTTTAAAAGATGACTACAAATGACTTTCTAGACTTTTTTTTATTACAAAGTAAAACAAAATGTTTATAGGGATTAGATAAATGCAGCACCAAATGCATCAGTTTTTATAGATAGATAAAAAAAACAATAAAGCAGTTAGAAAAGTGAAAATATTTGAGGAATTTGAGGGTTAGCTGCTGCATTCCCGTCTGTTCTTTCAGGATTTGAGCATGTATGTGGGTTTATGTTGATGGATATTATATAGGATATGAATAGTTGTGTTCTCCTGTCCTTAGAAAGAAAAGAGAACACAACATTTCTTTGTAAATAGTGTTAATGAATTTTCTCTGATAATAGAATAAAAACAGCAGTATTGCAAAGCACTGGCAGAAGTGAAAGTAAAACTACAGCTGCTGTGGTAACATTTTGGGATATAAATGCTTCCTCTTTTTGAAATTCACAAATATGAAGATGAAAGAAAAAGGTACTGTATCGAGATCCCAGTTTCTATTTCTCATTCTAATTCTGTTTTTCGTCTTGTTCTTTACTTGCTGCCAAAGGCATAAGGAAAACCATTGAGCAAAGTGAGATGAAGCCACAATTCGCCAAGTGGAAATTTTGTGAGTAATTCTGGTGCAATCTTTAATTTTGGTCTTGAAAATGTAAAAACTCCTGTAATGTTTGTTTGTTTTTTTTAATGTGTAATGATTCCGAGCTCCAGAGCTCTTCTTGCATAGTTTGCTGTTCTTTGTTGAGTTTGTGATCATCATTAAAATGTGCATACCACGTGGTGTCCTGAAACACATGGTGTTGACATTCTATAATCCCAGGAAGTCAATATGAGTATCAAAATGGTAAATGGAGGGGTTCTTATATAGTGCTTTTCTACTCTACCCGAGTACTTAAAGCTTTTTACTGGATTTACCTTATTCACCTAGTCACACCGATTCATACAAGAATATTGTTCTATGCAATTTGGGAATTGGGAAATAGAAATACTTTAAGGTTTTAGTTTTAATAAGTTTTTTGCACATTCATCATACATTGTGGCTCAAAGTTATTAGTAACTGAAATTGTAACTCCACAACCTTAAATTAACTTATATGGATTATGTAATATGTAATGTAATATAATACGTATAATATGTATGTTATATGTTATTCAGAACATAAATGTTTTAAAATCTCTTTTTATCTTCAGTCCATTCATTTGCCATCAGTGTGCTGCTGTTGGTTTTGTATCCCACTGCTGCTGTTGCCAGCATGACTGAGGAGCTGGCTAAATGTCTGGAGGATGACGATAATTATCAGCTCATGGAGACAGTGACGACTGGCCTTCCTCAGATCAAGAAGTCTCATCATGTTATTATTGTTGGGGCTGGGATCGCTGGGCTGACGGCTGCCAAGCTATTGGAAGGTGCAGGACACAAGGTACATGCAACATTTGAATATGTGTATGCTAGTTATGTTGTTTGTTTTCCATCCAGTGAATGCAAGCACTGCCATCTGCAGGTTAAAAAATGTTGCAAGAAAATGTTTTTTTTTAAGTAGAATACATCTGTTCCAATGATATCATTTTATATTTAAAAGTGTTTAAAAATCTTCCCTTACTTTTAAAAGGACAAAACATTTAACACATTTTTTTATTCATGCCTAATTATTGTATCCAGTCAATGCAATTTTCTTTAATATGAAAATCATCTCCAACCCCAAAACATAGATCATTTCTAAAATCCCAAGAATAGTCCACTTCACACTATGAGGTTCTGGATCCAGAAGGATAAGGAGTTAGTTTGTGATATTTTCTTGAGACAATGAATTCTTATATCTCCTATTTCAAATATTTTCAATTTTGTCCGGTCTTGCAGTGGTCCGAAAGGCTCTGGTAAAATGTTTTTGTAAATATTCTCTTTAAATATATTTTTTAAGAGCCTGCTAACAATCATACAAACTTTATCAATCACATAAGTTGTGTTTTGGGCCCTAGTAGAAGTAATTTCATGTCTGAATTTGATACAAACGTCTTTGGACTTCATGTTTCTGTAAAAAAACAAAAGGTGCACAGTAGTGAAATGGCATGGATGAGGCATTTTTAAGATTCCTCTGAGATCAGAATGTGATTCGAGAGTGATAGACAAGAACAAACACAATTACCTATCAACCTTTCTCATATTTTTTTTTAAAATTCATTTAAACTCATTATAAATAAAGTCCAAATGGCTTATGTACAACACTCCTGGATCATTACATGTGTCTAATTCTCTGGATTTATAACAATATGGTATGTTTCTAGATGTTCCAAGAAAGAACAGCAAAAGTATATATTTTCCACAATATTTTTGTTTATTGCTTTTTCTCTTGAACTGTTGGATTAAGGTAACCATCATAGAAGCTAGTCCTCGTGTGGGAGGAAGGGTGGAGACCTACAGGGATGAAGAAAATGGCTGGTATGCTGATTTGGGTGCAATGAGGATACCGAGTAACCACCAGTGAGTAAAAGAATGTCAAACATTGTCAAGTTTTGCTCTCAAATGACCAGTTTTTGTACTGCATTATAAACAATAACAAGCGAATGACCTCATGCTTTAACAGGATCATCCGCTGGTACATCAAAGAAATGGGGCTCAAGCTGAATCCATTCATCATGTATGACTCCAACACTTTTTACTTGGTTAATGAACGGAACAGGACGAGGACATACGCAGTGACAGCAAACCCCGACATCCTGAATTATAAACTGCCAGAGAGGGAGAGAGGGAAATCAGCTGACGAACTGTTGTGGCAGGCTTTGCAGAAGGTATGTAAAGATGTAGGAGGAATTCATGGCACTTTTTATACAGAGTGATACCATAGCAGAGCTGTCTATTAAAAATACAACAGACAGCAGTTGTCCTATAAAATATTAATTTAATGCATTTATGCACTTCGTGGACCCTACGCCTTAAATGCAAGTGTTGACTAATTCATGCAGACATATACTCCACATGGTTATTCCACTGTTACTGAAAATTAAAGTTAACAATTTCTTGTCACTTCACACTATCAAGTGAAGGCAAAAAAAGCTCAAAAATTTTTTTTTAAGTTACTTAAAGGTTAAAATGCACAAGAAGCCAAAGAAAATGTACCATATTGACACTTTTCAAGGACCAATTAAATTCAAATCTTAATATGTGAGCTGTTGAGTTCTTTAAGATTCAAATGGGCAATGCTTTGTCTTCATGTCTGTAGGTATTAAATATTTGACAAAATTATAGGTGTTGTAGGCTCCTAATGGTGTACCAGTGTTTTACCAAGACTCAGCTGGAACAGACTCCATTCCTGTAACGACTCTATTCGATTATGTGTTATTAATATGGACTGAATGCAATGCAGACATCTGTTGTCAACTAGTGGTGTGCGGATTCTTCCGATCCCAGTAATTTATGTTCTAGAATCGATTCTCATATTAAAATATCGATATTTTAGTACTTTGGGGTAAATTTGTAGTTTTTCATTAACAGAAACACAGTGGAAAGAAACTATATCATTCGGATCGTCTAAATTGGAAGAAA